GCAGATCGGCCGCGCGGTGAGCTCCCTGATCTGCTTCCTCATCTTCTACCTCTGCGATCTCCGCGGCAAGATGCGGTGGTGGCCGAACTCGCCCCTGGCGAGTCCCTCCCGAGCTACTCCCACTACGGCGGGGACGGAGATGAGTGTCCTATACCTACGGACGAGGAAGTGGGGGACATGGAAGAAGGTACGCACAATGTGAGCTCGTCGATTGAGAGACCGTCCTCGTCTGGATCTTACGACAGTTGTGGGATGACCGCGGATGAATATACGCGTCATTTTGGGCCCATCCTCACGGACGAAGAACTTGTGCGCCAGGCACAAGAGGCGGTTCGGCGGGCGCGTGAGTAGCTTCATCGTCTGATGGTGGAACATGGGAATGAGGTGGCTTACCAAGTTGGAACAGTGGATATTGATCTGATTTCTGCCTACGCTGAGGGCACTGAGGCAGTGGGGCGACCTACACGCTCTTCACCTTCCTCTCTTTCGGGGGCAGCTCCTAACCTCTCTTCCGATGATGATGGCATACCTGCTCCTGGTCATGGGGATCCGACAGGTTGGCCTCATACATTACACTCGGTCGGCGCTCTTGCCCACGCGGTGTTTGCTGATTCTGGCGTGCACAGAGTCCAAGGGCAGAAAGGGGAAGAGCCCCTATCGTTTGACCAGCTACAGCGGGCAATTGACTTCCTAGATGCGAACTACGTTTTGTCAGCGGATTACAGGGGGAGGGTGATTTGGTTGCTCAGTCATCCATCTGCGCTCTTTGAATATCTGCCTCTCGATCTGGATGTGCTCCTCGATGACAGCGCCCCTCTGGACTTCGACGAGCTGATGTTGGCTGAAGCTTTGGGCGCGCCCTGTGACATGATCGAGGACCTGCTGCACGACAACATGCACTTGCATATGAGTCCTGACTTAGAATCGGACCAGGAGGATGTGTACACAGATATTTTGGCTCAGGCGATGGCTCCTGGGTGCGTTCCAGAATGCGATGATCGAGTTGAGGTTGGCGCGCAGTCAGATGATTCTCTTGAGGTCCCGTATGGGGACCACGGTTCTGCCGAGCTGCGGGTGGTGCTTCATGACCCTGTGGCGGCGGCCTCGGTACACACTGCACCCGCTCAAAAACCACCTCAGCGCAGGCGTGAGCCTACTCCCCCATGCTCTTCAAGTTCAAGTTCAAGTTCTTCCTCTCATGGTGCTGACCATGTGGGGCAAGCAGACGCCATTCGGCAGCAAGTTCTGCTTGCAGATGCCTCGGTTGGTCATGCGGCGCCCTATCAAGTGACGGAGACAGATCCCGTGCGGGCTGGTGGAGCTGAAGGGCATGCGGTGCTGGGCCTTGCTGTTCTGGGTCTCTGCGGTCACGAACCAAGGGGTCAAGCTGAGCTTAGACGACAAGTTCTCACGATTCAACGCGCGCTGGCTGCTGGGGGTACTGCGGTTGGTCTGGGTGAACAAGGTGGACAGTCATCTGTCAGTGTTGGTGATGTGGATTGGGACATGGTAGAGCCCAACACGGTTCAGGCAGTCAGCATTGTGGTTCCTGCGATCTTACCAGTTGTTCCTATCATACAGTGTGATGCCGCGAACACATTGTTCTGGTCATCGTTTTCGCTGGCTCCTCAGTCTGAACAGCCGAATGGACATTGGCATAACCATTTGGTGACCTTTGATTCTTTGTCGGAACCTCAGATTTCGCTAGCGTTGCAGCTACTTCACCAGTTATTTCCCAGTTTGGCGAGGGACAAGTTCTACGAGATTGACTGGTTGCTTCGTCACCCAGTTGCGTTTCTCCTCCCTGCCATTGATGGTCATGACCAGCCTGTTCTATATTCTGGAGCAGAAGTTGATGAAGAAGAAGTGGACGACGTTGACGCGGGCAGGAGTGGGAGTCTCCCTCTGGTTGGCGAGGTGGGATCGCTCGAGGCTGGTAGTGTTCCTGGTGAGTGTGGTGATGATGCTGATCGGCCTAGTAGAGGTGTCCCGCATGAAGGTGAAGCTGGTGAAAGTCAGGTGCTGCTTCCAAGTGATGGTGCACTTCCTCATCGCGGGGATGTGGAACGTGAGAGTGGTGGTCGTGTCCAAGTACCACTAGCAGGCGACGCTGAGCCTCAAGTGGAAGATGCTGGGCATCGTGGCGTTTCTGATGATGGTGTGGTCAAAGGGAGGGCTGGTCAACTCCAAGCACCGCACGATGGATATGCGGAACCACAGGGACAGCTACAACAAGGACAACATCAACAAGAATATGACTCTGGCCGTCGAAGTGTGGATGAGGTAGAAGATGATGAAGGAGTGGACAACGTTGGCCCAATCGCGGGGGGCAGTCTCAATATGATCGGTGTGGCGGGACCGCTCGAGGCTGAAGGTGTCCCTGATGTGAGTGGGGCGACTGTTGACCTGCCTAGTAGCGGTGCTCATCATGAAGATGAAGCTGGTGAAGGTCATGTGACTCTTCCTGGTGATGGTGTGCTTCCCTCCCGCGAAGATGTGGAACGTGGGAGTGGTGGGCGTGTCCAAGTACCACTAGCTGGTGACGCTGGGCACCATGTGGAAGATGCTGGGCATGATGGTGTCTCTGATGGTGGTGTGGACCATGGGGGTGCGGGTTGAGTCCGAGCACCGCACGATGGAGAAGCGGAACCACAATGACAGCTACAACAAGGACAACAACAACAACAAGAAGAGGACGTGCCTGTGGTTGAGTACGCGGTGGGGTCGGTCGGCGGCGCGAACATGGCCCCCCGCACCAGCAACTACAACCAGGTGCTCTCCGTTGTCGCGAACATAATATGGTCATGGTCTCTTTGATCCGGATGCTGGAGCAGAGAAAGATGAAGAAGAAGTGGATACCGTCGGCACAGGCGGGAGTGGCAGTCCCCCCATGATCGGCGAGGCAGGATCGTTCGAGGCTGAAGGTGTTCCTGAGGCGAGTAGGGCTGCTGCTGTTCTGCTTGGTGGCGGTGCTCCTTTTGAAGGTGAAGCTGGTGAAGGTCCTGAGCATCGTCAAGGTGATGGTGTACCACCTCTTCGTCAAGATGCGGAACGTGGGTGGGGCGAACGTGGCCAAGTACTACTGGCTGGTGACGCTGCGCCTCAAGTGGAAGATGCTGGACACCATAGTGGTTCTGATGGTGGAGTGGGCTCTGGGAGTTCTAGTCGAGGCCAAGTGCTGCACGATGGTGAAGCGGAACCACAAGGACAGCAACAACAAGGACATCTACAACAAGAAGGTGTCTCTGGACATTGGGATGTGAGTGAGAAGGAGCCTATGGACGATGGCTCTGGTCCTGTCGGGTCTTCTCCAGTGCATAACGTGGAGGACGCGCATGAGGTTGACTACTCGGTCGAGGCGGTCGGCCACGCGAACACGGCCTCCAGCACCAGCAACTTCTACCAGGTGCTCTCCGTGGACGCGGTCCTGAGTGCTGGCCCCGCGGGGGCCGGCGGCGGCGGCGGCGCAGCTGGCGCAGCCTAGACAACGACGTGCGCCCTTCAGTGGCGTGGGATCCCTCGCCTCCTCCTCGTCCTCCTCCTTCTCCTCCTCCTAAGTCTCCTCATCCTTGTCCGCCTCCTCCTCCTCCTCAGTCCTGACGGGGCCCATGGATCGAGCAGTACTCGATAGGGGCCCATGGCGCGGAAAATCCCCGCGAAGGCGTCGCGATGCTTCGCGGCGGCTGAGGTGGGAGGCTCTGGAAGGAGCCACGGGCCATCGTACAGAGGTGGGCCGAGGCAGCAGGTAGCACTCCGTGGCACAAGATCTTGCGATCGCGCCTGTTGGCGGCAATTCAGGCTGCGACCCAAGGATGTACTGCCGCTGCTGCCGCTGCCGCGCAGCGCCGAGCACCGCCCCAAGCTCTCTACCTCTCCTCCCTCGCCACCTCCCTCTACCCCGATTCCATGCCCGTTCTCTTGCGGAGACGGTTTGAAAAATGGGCTCGTGACTGGGCTGCGCCAGAGATCCGCGAGCTCCAGCAGACCTGGCCGGAAAATATGTTTGTCAATTCGAAGCCGGCATGCGTCTGGACCCACATCAAAGCCATATTGGGCGGATGGACGACCACGCACAAAGTGAAGGTCGAGGCGCCTGTCAGTTGCTTTTTCGGATGCCCGCATTGTCCGGATTCTTTTCCCCACTACCTCACTTGTTCTCGCCTCCTTAGTTTCATGTCCCTCGTCCGCTCACCTATCCCCCCGACCCAGTGATCCGCATCGGGGTCGCGGTGCCGCCGACGTATACATCCCAATTCGAGCGAGAGAGCGCCCATGCATACTCAGTGTTGTCATTCCACTTTTATAATAAAGTACGGCACGCTGCATCTCCGCCCCAATCGACCTCAGCATACGTTAACTTACTGCGCGCAGTTCAAGCTGCCATCAGAATGTAGATGAGATCGGCACCTGCTGCGCCTCATGCTACTTAGGCTCCTCCTCCGCCTCCTCCCTCTCCTCCTTTGCTCCTCCTGCCTTGCTCCTCCTCCTCCCTTGCTCCTCCCTTCCTCCTCGTCCTCTTCCTCATCATCAACATCATCATCAGAATCATGCCCATCATCAGCATCCTCATCCTCATCATCATCACCATCATCATAATCATGATCATAATAATCATCGTCATCACCATCATCATCATCATCATCATCATCATCATCATCATCATCATCATCATTATCATTATCATTATCATTATCATTATCATCATCATCATCATCATCATCATCATCATCATCCTCATCCTCATCCTCATCCTCATCCTCATCCTCATCCTCATCCTCCTCATCATCATCGTCATCATTATCAGTACCATTTCAACTATCAGCATCATCAGCATCCGCTTCGTCATCCTCCTCCTCCTCCTCCTCCTCCTCCTCCTCCTCCTCCTCCTCCTCCTCCTCCTCCTCCTCCTCCTCCTCCTCCTCCTCTCCTCCTCCTCCTCCTCCTCCTCCTCCTCCTCCTCCTCCTCCCTCCTTCTCCTCCTCCCCCCCCGCTCGCCCGAGGCGAAAGCTCGCGCTTTCCTGGTCGCTCCTCCGTCGAGCGCCCGCGCGGCTGCCCGCGCGGCTGCGGCCGAGGATCCGCCGCGGCCGGCGCCCCATCTGCCGCCCCAGCGGGCTTAGGGGGAGTCCTGCGCCTCGGAGGCTCACGGGCGGAGGGGGGAGGAGGAGAGGAGGGAGGGAGGGAGGAGGGGAGGAGGAGGGGAGGAGGAGGAGGAGGAGGAGGAGGAGGAGGAGGAGGAGGAGGAGGAGGAGGAGGGGGGAAGGAGAGGAGGAGAGGAGGGAGGGAGGGGAGGAGGGCAGGAAGGAACTCCCGTCCTCTCCTGCCTGGCGCTCCGTGGTGCAATGGCATGTTCGGTTCACGCTTTTCAGGTTTTAAGAGGAGCCCACATTCACATGCAGGTTTGGGGGAGCAGTTCGGTCTGACAGGGAGGAAGGGAGGAAGGCCGGAAGGAAGGAAGGAAGGAGGGAGGACGGGAGGACGAGGAGAGGCAGGAGGGAGGAGTCAGGAGCGGAGAGGAACGAGTCACTAGAGGGGAAGCCGGGGGACTCTAAAGTGAGCTGGGGATACAGGCGAGAGGTAACGAGCGTGTGTCCGCGGCCGTTTGAACTCCAGCGGCCGGCCGCCCGGATCTGACTACACCTCAGCGCGAGGTGTACCATTTGCCATCGAGACCAAAACATCCTTTGCTTGAGATGGCTCGTCGCTCCCGCGACGATTTCCTACTATTGGGACTATCGTTACTACGGTACAACAGAGCTGGAGCTGGACTTCGCCCAAGGCGAAGCTGCCGGTTGGGCCTCCCAACCCCTTTCAAACTTGGTAGCGGAGCTGGCCTATGATAGTCAGCTCTTGCTCTACTCCTCATCATCCACGGCATTATCTGGCGGACTACTGAAGTGGTGAAACATCAGGGTGCAGTGGGCTTGCGCGGAGGATGTACATAACTACGCAATTTCGCAAGGACCCTTGCAGTGATACCTCTGCTTACGCAGAGGCCTCTTGCTCGCGTCCTACTTCCCTGCGCTACTACACTCCAGAAGTTCGCCCACCTACTCAAATTGGAAACTTCTGCGAAAACATAATGCATGGAAACATGCGATACGACATTGTGCCGCCTCCACCACCACGCAGGCTTACGACCACACACAACAAGCCCCAACCAACAAACATCAGACTACGACCTACGAGGCCACTGGATTGGTATAGCTATCTTTGGGCTCACATGGGTTGCTATCGGGTGTGCGGTGGGACACATACTTGGCGGAGACGACACAAGAACCACCGGGCCCCATTGGGACCCGGCCGGTCAAGTACCTTTCCGCGAATTCGTTCGCTAGGTGCATGCTTGGATCAACGTGACCACAGGCACCATGACGCCCTCCCAACAAGCTGCAGCATTGCAGCGAGGCTTGGGAGGCCTCGCACGGACCATAGCCATGAGAGTTTCCCCAGCAGTTATCCATTTCGGCGGCGTTAGCATTGGTGGCCGCCATACCGATGGCGTCACCTACATCACGTTCCACGTAAGTATGAAGTTCGAGAAATTAGACGAGGAACGCCAACCCAACTCTGGCACAGCTCTCATTGACTTCCGAGTCCATGCGGGAGAACGGATCGACCAGACTTTGTCGCGCTTCGAGATAGCTCGCTATGAAGCTCAAACGGCAGGCTTCAACATCCCCAACTTCCAAATTCTAGCGGTTATCTTACTTAGAGCCCTTGGAGCGGGGACGTCGCGTGCACAACAGCTCCTACAGCCACTAAGCCCTCACATGCCGAGGGGCCAGCAACAGTTAGACTCTCTACTCGAACGCATGAGGTCATATGCCCACATCGTTGAGAGAACCCCTGGCAATATTGGTGGTATCTTCAGTCATGGTCATCGTGCCGAGACCTTTCACGCTGAGGCCAACGCAGGGCAACTTGCTAATAACGTCTGGAATGATGATCCACAACCAACGGAGACCACCCTACTATTGACTCAAAATGGTGGTTCGGCCTCGGATTTGCAAGACTCTTGGGCCAGGTTTCGGGGGCCGCCAGATGCGGCGGCCCCTACCCAAGCCACTGCCCTAATGGGCTCAGCGGGGCAACCTGCTGAGTCCGACTTCGACTCTGGAACCCACGCCGGCACGTCTTCGGACGACGAGGCCACCGCCCTAGACTACTCCGACATGCCCACGTACCTCACGGAAGAACAACAGGCGCATTGGTTATTCCCAGGATTCCAGAAACATAAACGCAGGTGGAGACGATTTATGAAGAAGCCAGTTCGCAAGGTGCGACGTACTATCCGACGGGCGCTCAGGGGAAAGGGTAATGGCCGAGGCAAGGGTAAAGGTAAACGACGGCGACTGCATGGCAGAGGCATGTTAGCATGTCTAGCATCCCTTACTGGTCCGCAATATGAAGAGATGTTCCTAGGTGCAGGCAGGAACCGTAGGCAGACGCCAGGAAAAGGTAAGTGACGTCGGGGCAACCCGAGAGACGCTAACGGCAGAACAATGGAATGTGATATCTGCCATAGCACATAACATGTTCGCCGTGAATGCCCTCGGGGCGATGGGAGAGGCAGAGGTCCGTCGATAAATTTGGTTCAAACTGACTCGGATATACAGTAGGTTGACTGGGGGTCGACAGTGTTGACTTTGGAAACAAGGATGTCCAGGATGCCGCGATGCATTACTTAGAAGCGTGCTTCGTCAATGTTGTCATACTGCAACCCAACTACAGAACGACTGGACAACCTTCCTAGTTCAACTCGCAGGTAAACTACGACACTTGGCATGAACACCATAAAGAAGACCTTCCACATATCAAGTGTTGTGGAAAAGTTGTCATCGCCAACGCGACCTTCGACGGTTTTGACATACGAGAACAACCAGTGGGTACCTGGGTGGACAAAATACCGCCATGGACCACATTGGCCAGATGCGAGGGCACTTGCAATCAAACGTGGATCAATGTATTAGTGGCTTGCGTGATTCCCATGGGATATTGATGCGAATACCGACCGAGATTATGGCCAACCATCGCGTTTTATTCACACCTTTTGAACGAAAACGATTTGCTGGCCACCATCAACATGCATCGGCATGTAACAAAGAACTGTCCATGGCTGCACCTTATACTTCAAGGATGCAGTCCTTGTCGTCGATGCAGTCCAGATCGCGCGCGATCTATTCCAAGTAAACCGTGATCCCTTTCATAGTCACCCTTCTTCTTCCACCGTGCTAGTCACCGACATGGGATTTGATCTGGACGATTCAACTATCCCTCGGCAACCCGACGGGTCGATCACGAGACCACCCTCGGGAGGGTTAGGATGTCCTGCATGCGCGAATAATGTTAACACGCGCTCTCCTTCACATGGCAGAAACCCTAAGCATTGCAGGTGGTATGATAAGGAAGACTACCATTGGGAATGTCCGAGCTGCAAGGAGAACTGCGGCCAGAGCAAGCCTGGCCATGCGCGGACACCTGGCACATGCAAGTTTGCCAAGCTTTGGAAACTGCCCGACAATCGCGGACAGGCACCGCCGGCTCCTGCCGAGCCAGCACAAGCCGCACCACCATTTGCGCGGCTACGAGCACCAAGACCCGGCAAAAGAGCCGGACCCACAGCGGGCGCCAACGACCACGACATTTCAGCAGGCAGACATGCTGCTGAACCTGTTGCGGGGCAACCCGCCTCGAGTGGAGCGGGTAGTTCGGATGGCCACATCCGACTGCCACAGGTCAGAGTCAGACGCGGCCGACAGCAAGGAGGATATCCATTTCCACCGCCACCTGCGGGTAACCCTGCTGCGCGCCCGCGACTTCCAGACTGGTCAAGGTTCGACGTGCAAATCAGTTTACAAAACTTACGAAGCCTTGATCCAAGCGTGGTAGCACGCGAGCTGCGAATTCCACACTTGCGTTGGTTCCATGCGAAAGCGCCTAAGATGAGACTCAACTTAACCCCTGCAGGTCTGGGCAACGTCAGACTCAACCTGATAAATGGTGTCTGCGACACGTGTCGGGAGTGCAGGGCTTGGGACAAGCCTGGGCATGCGTTTATGCCGTCTACTGCACCGCATGGCAAGTTCAACGAAGAAGTTGAGTGTGACCTCGTGCTCTACAAACAAGAACATCATATATTTCATATCATCGATCGCTGCAGTCGCTATGCCGCTGGAATGGAGATACCGGGCAAGACAATGACCAGTATCTTGGGTGCGTACCATCAGTGCTGGATGCAGTTCGGACCTGCAAAGGTACTCTACTCCGATGGAGAGGACGCCGTCAACAACGAGACTGCGAAAGCAGTCCTTAAGGCAAAAGGCACTGAACTAAGGACGCGCGCGCGAGGGCAACGCGCTACGACGGTCGAAGCCAGAAATGGCATACTACGCCATCCACTTCATGTCATGGAAGCTGAACTCAACAGGTTAGACGTACCTCTTGTGTTCACACGACTACTGCATGAGGCCTTGTTTGCCGCCAACGCGTTCAATTTTTCTGACGAGGCGTTACCATGCAGTGCCCTGTTTTGACAGCAACCCGCAATGCTCCCTGACTTCCCCATTCTGGATTACGAACAGCCGACGGAAACGCCGGATCACTCTCGAGAGCAAATGATGCGCAAGGTATGCATTGAAGCTATCACACAGACCACTGCAGCAGCCAAGACTACTATCATCGGTCAGCAGTACTACGACGAAAGGAGATCTAGTTGAGTACCATCGCCCCACAGCCACGAAGGACGACTGGGGAGGCTGGAATGGCCCGTTCCCGGTCGTAAGAAATGATCCCGGCAGGGGTCAAGTCATCATTCGAGTGGGAAACCGCGACGTTAAGGTACAATGCGGCGATGCACGACACTCACTTTACATTGAAGCTTTGAAAGCCAGAGAGATCGGCTCCGACAACACTGCACTACGGGCAGCGTTGACGTTCGTGGCAAGTCTACCTGCGGGGAGACCTGCTATGACATTTGTCTATGTCCCGGCCAAGAAGGGGACGACGCCTCAGATGACAAGTGCAATCCGATTATTTTCTAAGGTACATCTGGCTTTACAGTGCCTTCTCAGAAGCTTCTTCCGCATCGAGAATGTAGTTTCTGTTAGGTTTGCCAAGAGTATCCACGAGCTACCTCTGGTGGCTCACGCTGACAGTTGCACGTTGGTCCACTATGACAACGATGTGAATCCAGGCTTTCACTACTAGCAGAAGGCACCGCTCTGAACATTCATGATATAACTGGATCAGCACATTCAAGAATCACCCAGTGCCTGAAGTCCACCAAACTTCAAGCAGGTTTTGACCAGGACATGACAAAGTTTGAGGAATTGGCGGGTATACCGGCACAGGACGGAAACGCAAGAGAAGCCCCAGAAGCCGAACCACCACAGGAGGATGGACGGCTTCCCACGATATATGAGGAATCGGAGGCGGACCTCGAGGCACATATTATGGAAGCGTGGTTTACAGAACTACATGATGAAAAGGGAACTACTGGAGGCAACTCCATTAGAGGACCTTTTCGCAGTACCCACACATATGATTCCAGACAACAGTGCGTTGGTCGTTGTAGCTGGAGGACAGCGGGGGCACCTGCCCAAGGGGGGGCACCCACACGACTCCGACATCGAGGAGACGTATCATGTCCCACTGTGATCCACGGTCGAAGATTGCAGTTACGGACTGGACTCCGACGAACACGTGCAAATCGTAGGACTCTGCTTTACGGCAGAAATGTCAAGGGTAGTCCTATCCCAACAACAGCACAGGACATTAGATGCCGACCGTGTTACCACCATGCGAGTATATGTTGCCGCCGCTGCAAAGCGAGCTGCGGTCGCCAAGGAAGACGACTTCCTCGCGAAGGCTGACATCCATGCGAATCCCGGGGAAGTAGCCAAACCCCTCTACGCTGAACTCAAGGCATGACTTGACAACAAGTGTTTCAGAATGCAAGATCTATATAAAGCGTCAAACATCATGACTTCGAGGTATCTGTGCACTTGGAAGTTCGTGAAGAACGAGAAAAGCGAGATGCATCGTACCATCAGATTACGCCTGGTGCTTCGAGGCTTCATGGGCCTTGAAGCTTTCGACGCGGAAATCTTCTCAGGAACAGCGCGGCGGCCAAGCCGAAGTCTTACTCGCAAGCGCGGCAGCGTGCAGGAAGCAATGGGCCATCGTTTCCATCGGCATCAACATGGCCATCCTGAAAGGGTTGACCGACCAGAAGCTTGCTGAGGCAACTGGTGAGGAAGAACGTGTGGCGTGCTTTGCCCTGCCGCCTAGATCGGCTACGGTGCTTCGAGCTCTCCCAGGTTTCGAGCACTGCGACGAGTCGAAGCACTGCTTGCAGTGCCTCAAGCCAGGAACTGCACCAAGGACGCACCTCGAGCTTTCTCACTAAAGCTCAGGAGGACCGCGGGAGGTCTCGGTCTCAGACCCACGCCCTACGACGAGGAGTTCGAGACGGGCAACAACCTGCTCACAAGCAAACACGTCGATGTCATCACTATGGCCGGCACAGAGGACACCATTGACAAGTGCGCCAAGTGCGTGGAGGACACCTCTGGTAAGTGTAAACTCAACAAGACAACGTGCACCACTTGTGCTGTGAGAGGACGGCAGCGTTACGTTGGACCAAGACGACTATATCAAACAACTCCGTCCTATACAACATCCTGAAATTGCAGGCGCCGACGCCGACGCCCAAGCATCCAAGATGGTTGCAGACATGTTCGACAGCCTCAGAGGCGCATTGGCGTATGCATTAATCACCCAGGTGTGGTTTATGGCATATGTAGTCTCTCTACAGCGTGCCCACGAACCGACCAACATACAAGTGCGACGACTGAGCGCGATTACCAGGAAACTGCAGGCCTGCCCCAAGAAGATCGCTTACCCAGCGATGACTCCCACGGGCGAAGTTGACCTGCACAGCGACTCAGGTTATCGACGCCTGAGTGGAGATGCCGATGACGAAGTCGAAGGCTATGGCATTCGCGGGGCAAGCCTGGCGTGGAAGCACGCCATCTGGCAAGCCTGTCGTTCACTTGACCGATGCGTACTGCAAGTCTCACCGCTTGCAGGTCCGTTCGGGCTATTCAGCAGAGACACTAGCAGCAGCCCGCAACTTGGAGGACTGCTATCCCACGATCGTGACTCTGCACGAGCTCCATGCAGGGCTGTTAACTCCCACTCACTTGACGGACATGATTGAGTTGGGTGGTCTGAGCAGCAAGGTCAATTTGACCATAGGCGCTGAGTATGTTTTAAGTCCTTGTCAAGCAAAGACTTGAAGAAGCCGACTGAGTGTACGCTTTTAGGACACATCAGTTGGAAACGACAGATGATGGAGCGAGGAGTCGTGCATAGTATTCAGTGGTGTGACACCCGCGATATGATCGTGGACGGTCACACAAAGGGGAGCATCGACAGATATATGCTCCTACAGGTCATGGGAGGTACGCAATCCTTCAAACATGATTTAAAACGTCATACTCCTTATCGGGCTGGCCAGACATCTCGGTCTGCGGACGCCTGAGGAGTAGTCGTATGCACAGTAACATGCAGGCAAGGCAACTTGCGCGCGGGTCCACCTTCCTTGCGGCCCGGCCCTTTTTGCTGCCCTTTTGTACATCGGAGCTGCTGTACCTGCTGTACAGAAGCGGCGGACTCACGCTTCGTCTCCCCCCCCCCGACTCTAAAGTGAGCTGGGGATACAGGCGAGGGGTAACGAGCGTGTGTCCGCGACCGTTTGTACTCAAGCGGCCGGACGCCCAGATCTGACTACACCTCAGCGCGAGGTGTACAATTTGCCATCGAGACCAACACATCCTTTGTTTGAGATGGTCCGTCGCTCCCGCGACGATCTCCTACTATTGGGACAATCGTTATTACGGTACAACAGAGCTGGAGCTGGGCTTCGCCTAAGGCGAAGCTGCTGGTTGGGCCTCCCAACCCCTTTCAAACTGGGGGAGGCACGAGGGAGCTGTTTGGCTGCGGCACTGCGCGGCGCGTTTGTACGCAACCCGCGAGAGCGTGAAATCGTAGGATGTACCCCGCGTGGCCACAGTGGTGGGTCGCTGGTTGTCTGGTTGGCGCAATATGGCGAGGGAGGGGCGAGAAGAGAGACAGACGGAGGACGGAGGACGGAAGACGGAGGAGGAGAAGGAGAAAGAAAAGGAGGGATGTGAGGAAAGGACGGGAGGGGACAGGGGGAGGGGGGGAGGGGGGGGAGGACAGAGGATGGAAGACGCAAAACGGATGACGATATGTTTTGGATTTCTCCGCTGAGCAGTGCTCGCCGATCTCTCAGACTGCCCTCGCCGTCTTGACCTTGCGCTGGGGGCGCAGGCCTCTTGCTTGGATAAACCTGCAGCTGCGATTGATTTGCCGGGCCACGCTCCTCTCGTGGTCTGGCCAAGCTTCCACCTGCCCGCCTTTCCAAACGGGTGGTGCTCACTCTCAGGAGGGGAAAAAACACACAGACACAATTAATCGGCGATTCCCAGAAAATATGGGAAAATATGGGAAGTGGGGGGGAAGACAAAAACCCAGAAAATATGTGAAAATATAGGGAGTAGTTTTATTTGTGTGTATTTATTTGTGTGTTTGTGGGCCTCTTCACACTCGCAAGGCTCGATGCGGACCCACCCACCCGAGCACAGACATCTCAGCAGCTGCTGCAGCAAAGCATCGGGCGATCCAACCGATCCGCGATTGTGTGGCTCTCGTGTGGCTTCTTGCCTCCAACTTGCAGCCGCTGGTGGCCAACGGGCACGCGGCCCGCCGGCTCGCTCGAGCCTGCGGGTACAGAGGGGGCGGCAGGGGGTCGAGAGTCACTCCAGCACGCGGTCTCGCCCTCCAGCGCGGCCCGGGCACGCGGTGCACGTGGCCTCGACCCCTTGCTTCCCCGACTTAGTTATCTGGGGCCAGTGGGCGTTGGTGGCAACTGTCCTCTGAAGAGCACTGGGCTTGGGTGTTTGTGCCTGTTCGGGCAGGATCGGCAGTCTCTCCATCTGGGTCCTGGCCTAGTCGTCTTCCCGGAGCACGTTCTCAAGCATGGTGCACAAACGCGTCTTGACTCTGTCAGCCTCATTTTCGACGTCTTGGACAGCAGCGATCTGGTCAGGGTTCAACTGAACTTTGACTGTGATCTCCTCGGCTTCAATACAAGGCCTGGGAACATCGGCGGCACGGGCCTCAGTAGCGTGGCTCTCGAACCTACGACAACGACGGTGACCCCCGCAGATGAGGACGGAGGACGAGAAAGAGAAGGAAGAGGAAGAGGAGGAGGAGGAGGAGGAGGAGGAGGAGGAACAGGAGGAGAAGGATGAGGAAGATGAGGATAAACATGAGGTCGGAGGAGGAGGAGGAGGAGGAGGAGGAGGAGTGCCTAAGAAGGCGGGCGTTGACGGACACGTCGGTAGGAGGAGGGTGATGTGGAGGAGGAGGAGGAGGAGGAGGAGGAGGAACAGGAGGAGGAGAAGGACGAGGTGTAGGGAGCGGCGGAGGAGAGAAGAGGGGATCGGAGGCGCAAGGGCAGGGGTAACAGAAGAGGCGGGAGCGCACTGCTGAGGGGGTGGCAGAAGAGAGGGAGGGGGGCGTCAGGCAGGCGAGGGGTTCGGGTCGGGAGGGGGGGCGTTGCTTAGGCTGGCAGCGCTGGCTATGCAGCCCAGTCTGGGATATCCTGGCAGATGCTCAGCGCCACACGCGTCTCCCACCCCTAAGCGGGTGCCGTCGGATTCTGAGGATCAACGCTTCTGTTGTTGCTGCTCGTCCTCGACCGTATCTCCTCCTCCTCCTCCTCCTCCTAATTACTCCTCCTCCTCCTCCTCCTCCTCCTCCTCCTCCTCCTCCTCCTCCTCCCCCTCGGCCTCCTACCCCTTCTTCCCTCCCCACTCCTCGCTCCTCCATCGTCGGTCCTCCTCCCTACTTCCACTTCTTCTCCTCATCCTCCTTCATGCCTTTCCCCACGCGAGGGGTGACGGTGCCAGCGGAGTTCAAGGTCCACGGGCTGGGTGGTCGCCTAAGCCAGGCGAACAGTCCAAGCTTCGAGTGAGAGGCTTGATGTCGGCCGTTTCCGGCGATGAGGATGATGATGTTGATGACGTCGATGATGTTGGTGACGGTTTTGAGGTTGCTGTTGTTGTTGCTGATGGTGTTGCTGCTGTTGCTGCTGCTGCTGCTGCTGCTGCTGCTCATGATGCCGATTATGGAGATGGTGATGGTGATGGCGATAGTGATGTTGATTGTGCTGGTGCTGGTGATGATGATGCTGATGGTGCTGCTGCTGCTGCTGATGATGATGATGGTGGTGGTGGTGGTTGTGGTGGAGGTGGTGATTGAGGCGGTGATGGTGATGATATTGTCGTCAATGATGGTGTGATGGTGTTTTGGTGTTGTGGTGTTGATGATGATGTTGATGGTGAGGAGGATGGAAACGCCACCACGAAAAGCGAATGATGAGGAACGATGGGGTAGGATCAAAGGCACAAGAGGAGAGAGGACGAGGGAGGAAGAGGAGGAGAAGGAGGAGGAGGAGGTGGGGGAGAACGAGGGGGCATGAGCAAGGAAAGAGGCGGAGAAGAAGGAGGTGCAGGAGGCTTTGCCAACCTTCCAAGTCAGCTGGCGCATCGCATTCGTGCCACAAGATCGCCTTCTGAGGGCGTCTCTTGAAAGCGCAGCATCCGCATGCTTGTTTCTTCTTCTGGCGCACGTTTCGTGAAAACGTCATTGCGCACTGGAAGTGCAGAGACGCAGTGGGTAAGAGTGGAAGGGTCCAACAGCGAAAACAGCGTGTGTATGTGTGCATGGCGGTGAAAAGAGCGGCACGCGGGGAAGGGAGACAGGTTCACACACACACACACGCGCACACACGCGCCCACATCTATGTACATACATATCTACATCTGCACACGTACTCCCTTTTCTATATTTCTATAACCTGGGATCCTGCGACCCCCCCTAAACGGGACCCCTCCGGATCCTTGGCCCCAGGGGCACCCTGGACGCCCTTGCAGACGGTCCCTTGTGTATCCCAGGGCTCCTGAAGCCCCTCCTGGGCCTAGGCAACGGGCCCAAATCGTTCAGGATGGCCTCCGAACGGCCTCGCAAGAGTCCACAGAGGCCCCATACACCCACCAGACGCTCGAAGACGACCCAAAGAACACCCCTACGAGGCATTCGAAATGCCAACAAGATTGATGTCCTATGGTTTTGTATGATTCCTCTCGCTTCGCGGGGTGCACGTCCGGAGCACGTGCAATCCAGTCGTTGCGGGGCCTGGTGGGAGCCTCTTCGGCGGGGCCTCTTGGGTGTAACTCCTGCATGTGAAGCCCGTTCGGGTGACCACTTTGGAGATGGACTCTGCAATGGCGCTACAAGTGCCGAATCCGTGGAAGGAGGGCTTGGAGGAGAGCAAGAGGGAGGGCGACGATTATGAGAAGGAGAATGCGGAAAGGAGGAGGAGGAGGAGGGCGGGGGAGAGGGAGGAGCAGAAGGAGGACGAAGAGCAGGGCTGTGCGGGCTACTACACTGTCACATTTCGAATGGCCGTCGGCCCATCCCCTCGCCACGGTTTCTGGTTTGCGTGTCAGGGTCTTCAGGGAAGCTTCAGGGCAGCAGTCGGACATTCAAACGCGCCCATCCCGCGCGGGCACGACGGTGGATCTACCGCATGAGACCCCAAGGGCAGGGATCTCATTCCTCAGCTCCTGCACGCGATCCAGGACTCGATGTCGACGTGTGTCCATTCGCTGCGCCACGCGATCCGTGCAGAGCGCATGTTTTCCGGTTGGCAGAGGCAAGCTGCTCGTGGCGACATGTGCGCGGCATACTTAGCAACGCGTGGAATGCCTCACTTTTGGTCGGTTTGGAGCACAATTGGCCGACCGCGCCGCTTAGAGTCAGATTCGTATTAGTGCCGGTCGGATTCTGCAGGGTTGCTCCCGATTTCCTTGGTTTCCCCGGATTCCTGGGACCCCCAAGGATTATCGAGCATTCTGGAGGACCTCGAGGATTCCTCGAAGTTCCTCAGGGTTCTTCTGGGTTCCGCAGGGGCCCTTGGCATTCCTAAGGATTCTTCAGGGTTCCTTAGGGTTCCTCAGGGCCTTAAAAGGTTTTCACGATTCCTTGGGATTCGTCTGGGTTCCTCCGGGTTTTTCGCTGGAGTCTTTGGGAGGTCTTCATAATTCCTCAAGGTCGCTTTGGATTCCATTGGATTCCTTTGTGTCCGTCATGGTCCGTGAGGATTATTCAACATTCCTCGGGTTTTCTTAAGTTGCTTCAGAATTCCTCTGGGTTCCGACGGAGTCTTGAAGAGTCTTCAGGATTCCTGTGGGTTTTTTCGGCTCCCTCAGGATTCCTCACGGTATCTCAGGATTCCTCCAGATTCGTTAGAGACTCCAAAGAGGCTTCGTAGTGGCTCTGAAAAAGAATTTCAGAGGCTCGGAAGAAACTGATCGGAGGCTCTCAATAAGCTTCTCAGAGGGTATCCAGGAGCTTCTCAGGGGCTCTCTCAGCGAAGAAGTTTTTTTTCAGAGCTGCCAAGTGGCTTCTCCGAGGCTTTCAAGAAGTACGTCAGAGACACCAGCCTGGGAACAACCCTTCAAGTCTGGAATTAACCCACCAGCAATCTTCTCACCGTCGAGACAGGAAGCAAGGGCTCCCTCGAGGGCGCGAAGTTATTCGCGCTTCGCGCTTCGCGGTCCTCGTTCCTTCTCCTCCTCCTCCTCGTCCTCCTATTCTCCCTTTGGGAGGGCGGCGCGAGAGCGCGAAGTTATTCGCGCTTCGCGCTTCGCGCAGCGCGAGAGCGCGAAGTTGGGAGCCCTAGAGGAAGTGCCCGCCCAGCCGGGGAACGGCCCGTCGAGCCGAGACGACGAGACTCGCTCGTCCCGGGGGGCAGCGCCCCGTGCCATCGGCAATCGTGGGCCGCCTGCGCGAACGGCCCCGAAGCGAAGGGAGGTGGGGAGGGAGGGAGGGAGGGAGTGCGGGAGGGAGGGAGGTAGGGAGGGAGCAGGAGGAGGAGGAGCAGGAGGAGGAGGAGGAGGAGGAGGAGAAGAAGGAGGAGAGGGATGAGGAGGAGGAGGAGGAGGAGGAGGAGGAATATGATGATGATGATGATGATGATGATGATGATGATGATGATGATGATGATGATGATGATGATGATGATGATGATGATGATGATGATGATGATGATGATGATGATGATGGGGTTGGCCCGTTCCAGTACGGTAGGTTCGTGTCGTGTCGACCGGCGGCGACCCCGCCAGCGGCGTTCAACCTTGAACGCCGCGGGCGACCCAGAATCGTTCGATGTGGGACGATTTTGACGTTTCGGAAACGGCCGATCGTTCAAGGTTGAACGATCCCCGCGGTGTCAGAAACCAACGCCGGGTTCGACACGACGCGAACCTGCCGTACACAGGCGTGCCAGGGGTTGGCCATGTGCAACGGGGCGCGAACCCACGAGGCGTTCGGCCGATGGTCGTCCAGGGGGTTGGCCCTTGCGATGGGCAGTCAGCATAGGCCGCCCACGCCAATGGCCCCGAGACAGGGTCTGGGGAACACGCCAGGGGGTGGCCCGTTCCAATAACCATGTGCATAAGGCGCCTATGCAGTTTGGCCCCCGAGGTCCAGTTCCGCTCAAACCTGCGATTTGGGACCTGTTTCGGTGGGACTTAGGGGGGAATACTCTCACACGCCTAGAGACCCCAAAGGGGTCGGCGGATTTGGGGAATGCTCTGTTCTTCGCTCTGGTCGTCCGAGACCGCCCGGGAGGCCGGGGAATCGCCCCAAATTTGACCAAGAGGGCTTCCAGGCAGTCCAAAAAGAGCCCCCAAACGGCCCAACATGGCCCAACAGGGCCCCATGACGGCCCGAAGAGAGCCCCATGACGGCCAAAGATGGCCCCTAATACGGTCCCCAAAGCTTTCCAAATCGTGACCCGGTCGTTCAAGGAAACCGCGGTTGGAATTATGGTGGCCCAGGGACGCTTACAGTGGCCCCCAGAAGGACCACAGGATGTCTCCAGAAGGCCCCAACAAAACCTTAGAACATGTCGTGACCTCCCCCGAAGACGCACTCCAAGGACGAGCGATCTGAGGACAGGGAAGAATTCGCAAAATAAACAAAGGCAACAACGAGTGATCGCCCAAGGTCCGTTGTACCTTCTGGTCCTTTCGCTGCATGCCTGACCTCAAGGACCAAAGTGCATGGCGTGAAGCGCGAATGCACTTTCAATACACATACACATATACATGCACATGCACACGTACATATACACATACAGTTACACATACATATGCGCATACACATGCACCTATACACACATACATACATACATACATACATACATACATACATACATACACACATACATACCTACATACATACATACATACATACATACATACATACATACACTTACATATGCACAATCATAAACACATTCACGTACAAAGACACATAAACCTAAACCGACACATACACATCCATGTGCATATGCATACGCGTAGGCATACACACGTACATAACACTATACATTTTTATGCACACGAAATGTACATAACCACGTACATATACAAACACAAATACATCTACATCTACATATACAGTATACGTAAACATACGCTCATGCATATACACATACATGTGCATGCTCATTTGCATATACATATACATGTGCGTACACATGTGCCTCTGTATGCACATGCAACTATACATTTGTATATACAGATATACATAAAACATACAAGTGTACATTACATACGTTCACATGTGTATCTACATATATATATATGTGTGTATGTGTACATATACGCATAAATATGTACACGCATGCGCATACGCACATACATTTGCGCCTACACATACTTCTACGTATGAAGTTACCGGTATCTCTACATATACATGTACATATACATATGCACAGACCTACGGGTATATACAATCATATGCATTTGCAGTTAAGGACTCATCGATATGTACATAGACGCACGTATACTTTTACACATGCATATGTCGATACATGCATTCATATACATGCACACCCATCTACATATACATATACAAATGCAAATACAGGCACAT